TTTCGTCGCGCGCTTTGGGCACAAGGTGTCGTTTCTGGTTATTGGCATCGTTGGCGTTGTGTGTTCTGTGCTGTACCATGTTTCCTCGGCAACGGATGAGTTCTGGGTGCTGTGTGTTGGTCGGCTGCTGATCGGCGTCGTACTCGGTCTTGTTTGCGTTGTCTGCCCCATGTATTGCGATCAGAACTCACACCCGAAGCTCACTGGCGTGGACGGTGTTCTGTTCCAGGTGTTTATTACGTTTGGCATCATGTTTGCTGCCGCGATGGGTTTGGCGCTTGGGCAAAGCGTGCAGTTTGACGAGGACACCAAGATGCAGGCCCGCATGCAGGGCTACTGCGCCTTCTCTACGCTGCTTTCGGTTCTCATGATCGTGCTTGGCATTTTCCTGGGCGACAGCAAGACGAAGTTTGCGACCGGGAAGCGCGAGGAGGAGGAGGAGGACGACGAGGCGCTGGACCCGAATGAGTACGGCTACATGCAGATGCTCGGCCCTCTGGTGATGGGGATTGTGATGGATGTGGCGACGCAGTTCACCGGGATCAACGCCGTGATGAACTATGCGCCGACGATCATGGGCAACTTGGGGATGGTGCCCCTTGTGGGGAACTTCGTGGTGATGGCATGGAACTTTGTGACGACGCTCGCCGCGATTCCACTTGCCTGGTACTTCACGATGCGCCAGATGTTTCTCGGTGCCACGCTCGTGGCGTCGGTGGCGTGCCTGCTTCTGTGCGGGATCCCTGTGTACCCCGGCGTGGCCAGCACCAACGTGAAGAACGGTGTTGCGATCACTGGCATCGCCATATTCATCGCCGCGTTCGAGCTTGGCCTCGGACCGTGCTTCTTTGTGCTTTCTCAGCAGCTTTTCCCGCGCTCGTTCCGCCCGAAGGGTTCGTCCGTCGTGATGGTGGTGCAGTTCCTTACCAATATCATCATCAACGTCTGCTACCCAATCGCGACGGAGGGCATGTCCGGCGGCCCGTCCGGCAACCAGGACAAGGGCCAGGCGATCGCTTTCATCTTCTTTGGCTGCATTGGTTTTGTCTGC